GCTGCAAGTGCACACTGTTGGCTCATAAACTAATCCTCAGTGAACAATACTGGCACATGCTGAACTGAGAAGAGAAATCTTAGGAAGATCTACCAGAACCACATGCTCGGAGGCATGAGATAAGTTTCAGTTAGAAATCAAAAAGAAGAATTTTTTAAAATGTGTAATTATTTCAGCCTATGAGAGTTTCTGAGAAAAATGATGTCTTGATTTGAAATATTAATAACTGGCTTTTAATGAGTGTGTGTATATATAGATAGATAGATAGATAGATAAAATAAAAAGCATACCTTGTATAGACCAAAGAAGCCTAGGTCCCGTAACACAGTGAGGGCACTAACCCGTGGACCAGTAGTAATTTCTCCAGCAACCTGTAATCGAATCTTGACTATTTCCAGTGGATTGGTAAAGATCACTTGAGAACCTCCTGCCTGAAATTACAAGTGGAAGGCAGGACATTAATTGGTTACATTATTTGCAGTGAGCATCCCGATGCATTGAAGAGAATACATTTTCAATCCTGTTGCAGTCAGTTAAGCTATTAGCAGATGAGAGTTTTAGTATTAGTTAATAAACTGCAGCTCACAAGGTAGGAAATCTACCCCTCATGAGATGAGCAGTTAGGGAAAGCATAGAGGAAGCAGGTCACCCACTTCAGGACACTGCAGAACATCAAGCTCAATTCTTGCTGCAAGACTAAATTCACCAATACCAATTTATGCAATACTGACAAGCCAAGAACATTGTAAAGAAAGAAATGAAAGGAAAAATTAGTTACTAAGTAAAAAAACTGAGATATGCATGCCAGTACTTAAGACAGTGAAAACATACTATTGAAGAGTAAAAGTCTGGCAGAAGCTTTTTCAATTTTGGCACGAGTTCATAAAACAAAGAACACACGGATTCCAAAGACTAGAACTGCAGATATATTGTGCTATTTTTGAAACCTCACTGAACTACCAGTTTCAATGCCATTAAATACTGTTTGATTCAAGAGTCTTCAGCTCCACATCATTATTTGCGCACCAAGTAATAAAGAAAAGGTGGTCTACAGACTGCAGGACTCTGTTAATCAAGAACTGCTAAATGTTTTCAACATGTCAGTCTCCAGTTGTTGGGAAGACATCACTCAACTGATTTTGAAAGTTAGATATAAAGCACAACGGTGGCAAGCATTTCAGGCTTCCCTGAGAGTTCTTGTGGAGTTCATCTCATTCATAATTATGTACTGTAGGGCAAAGCCTTTCTGCTATTCTGACAGATTCCGAGTTAAAAATTTGAAACAATAAAGAAAACATGACTTGAAGGTTACCTAGTGTATTCAAAAAATACTCATGCAAACTGCATTAGGCCCAAATTCAGCAGTTTCATTCTAACTTCTGTTCATTTTTTAGTTACGTGGCCCAACAGGTATGGCCTTCTGCAGGTTCTGAAATCCCATGCAAAGGGCAACTCTCACCCTCCCCACAACAAAACAATTTTTTTTTTTCTAGATGGTAATGACTAAAATGAAATAAGCTGCATTTAAAAGCACTTGCATCTAGCCATTTCTAGTATGTAAGCACTATGTGCACATCTTTCTTAAATTATCCCAATGTTAAAAGAATTAATCATAGCTCATATTAACTATCATTCAAAATAAAAAAATACGAGCAGTAATATGGTTTAAATAATGTGCTGAAGAAATAGCAAATCGCATGAACAACTATTCTTGTCTACCACTTAAGACTGAGCATACACAGTGTGGTTACAAATTAAAGTCTTTACATAACCCCCAAAATATCCCAAATGTTTCCTATTTTGACCAGAAGAAGCATGCTCTTGTGTAACTCAACTGGTTTTGACTTTCAAATTGGCATAATTTAATTTAACTGCTTTTACCAAACCAGCATCCTGGTACATATAAAACTGCTACTCTAGTTGCCATCAGAAATTAGACTGAGAAATTATTTGGCACATATGTTGACTTCAGTTTTGCACTTAAACTGAAACATATTAAGTAAGTAAGCATTCAAAACAAAACAAAACAAAAGTGTTCCTTTTACTTGTCTACTCATCTTGCAAAGTCTCAAAATAAAAAAAAAAAGATGACCTGGAGAGGTCCTTACAGTGAATTGCAAATTCCTATATAATAAACATTCTGGTCTATGTATTGCAGGTGAAAATGTTCATTTACAAGTTTGTTATACCACAGTCCTGCTCTAAAACACTCTACTTAAAACTTCAGGCCAACTGATCTATGTTAGCACAAATAAACTACTTTCCCTCAATATGATAGTCTTGTAGTTCATTGTACCATGACTCCATGGGAAGTGTTCCTTTAAATTTCACTGCAGGAAAAGCGTATTAAAATTTAAAAGACGACAACAAAAATTAATACTATTATTACACCAAAACACTGAACAATTTAAAAATGTATTTAAATGTTTCTAAGTGAATGTAGTATTTAAAGAAAGGAAATGGAAACATATATCAGCTTTTACAGGAGAATCAAGGCAAATAACTTTGGAACTCAAACAAACAGCAAGCATTTCAGGTGTTAGCACATATATATGTTTATGTTCGCACATCCAGCCTGGCTGCATCAACACTTGCTGCATTAGTTATTTGTGGCTCTGGGTAAATCACACAAGACTTCCTCTGCTTCAGCCTGCTGTTTGAAAAATGAGGATACTATTATTTACTCACCTCATACAATCAAGCTCTCTGCATTCAAATTTTTAAAACACCGACACCTGCATGCACCAGCCGTTACTAAAAAGACTACCGGTTCTCTCTGCCCACAAAGCAGGTCTGAAGAAAGACGCTGGAAATCTCCAGTGAAGTTTTTCCACAAAACCATCCAGGTACTAGCCCAGAATTCCCTGAACAACCTTTGTCACGCTCTGAATTTGATCAAAGACATACTCCAAAAATCAAACGGTCAATAACTGAAAGTGATGAGCCTGACAACACCTGCCAGAGGGTCTCGGCAGGAGGATTTCTACCACCTTCCTGCTCTGTGATGGAGAGGAAGGCTGCTTTATCCACCCTGCAGAGGCAGTTCTAGCAGTAACAAGTACAATCGCCTGGTGGGAGCTTTTATCACTCTGTTATTTAACCATCTCTGCTGGTAACTGCAGCTCCTTACTCTCAAAATGGAGGAAAGCAAATGGGACATGGCTCACATACTCTCTAATGAAATTATTTCTTGCTTATGTAGTACTGGTAACTCCTACTGTGTTATTCATCATCATCATAGCATCTAATTATCTCATGCATATTAACGGTATTTTCTCCCAATGTTCCTGTGAGGAACCTACAATGACCCTAGTTTTTACAAGAAGGTGATTTGAGGCTAATTGTATGCCCAGTGTGTGCTTGTGTCCCTAGCTCAAACACACACAACTTTTAAGAGTCTCTAGATATCCTGCTCTCCAAATCAGTAGCTTGAATCACAAGTGTGGTTTCTGTCTTCTTTCTGAGTTTTTGTGTAGTGTATGCAATGACAGAAATCTCACCAATCTATTCTTTTCCAGTCTCTTCAAGGTGCTGCTATTAACTGTTTTGGAAAAAAAAAAAAAAAAAACAAAAACAAGACAAAACATCATCAGCACATCCTATCACCCTGCTCGTTCATTCTTTGTGGTCAGAAGCTGAAGACCGTTGCCTTCGTGTGTGCTAGCTTCTGCAGTTGAAAGTGTATCTCATTTTAAAATTTTGAAATATGCTCCCAAGGGTCAGAATTTGAAAACTATTTTTTTTGGCCAGAATAAACACAGTTTAAGCTCGGGCTGCTTAAGCTTAATGATTTCTCCACCAAGTGTCAAAAACATCAACTTCATCAGCCATTTAATGTAGTTCAGAGTAACACAGGCTTTTCTATACTGAAGTTACAAACTTCAGTACCCTCAACTCTGAATTCCTTATCACCTCTTCCAATCATTCTTTAAAGAAACATATGATCTGACTGTAAAGGCAGATCCATTACTTTTCAGTTATTATCACACGAATAAAATAAAACCTGCAATTCTGAGTTATTTATAGCAGTTACCTAGAGGTACCGCATAGATAATTACCTGTAAGGGCCCACAAAGGGCCCCCACATTATTTCGAAAGAATTTAACATTTGACCTAATCACAAGCACTTACACTCTTGATGTAAAGCAAGAAAATAAAAGGGAAATACTTGTGTCAGCAAAGAACTCCTCATCCATACAGAACTAGAAATCTGCATGCCTATAAAACGTTCTGGACAGCTAGCTATGCATCCAAATGTATGTGAATTTTTAAAAACAAGCTAAGTTGTTGTTTGTTTTTTTTTTTTCCATTTTTGCAGATTTTCAACCCTGCATTTGCTATGATATCACCCAACACCTCTCGATGGCAGTATAGTCTTGTACAGTAACACAGCACTCTCTATCACATGCTGCTTCCTACTTTCCTACTTCAGTGAATGCAAGGGAGAAGTAGAAATAGCTGAAGTCTATTTTTTGTCCGTGAAGAAATAAAACCCACTGTGCAGTGAAACAAACTTAGTTTAATAACAACTGCTTAGCAACACTCCAGTTTATGAAAATGTTTTCTACTTCTTCATGTGTTCAAATCACCTTGTAATAAACTTCACTGGAAAATAGATTTTCACCCCGCTCATTACACCAAGACAATAAATTCCTGTTCTTTTTAAAGTAACTGCATTTTGTGTCCTTATGAGCTTAGATAAGAAATAAGCACACCAAACCAAACTCTCCTAAGGCTTTCACATCTCCATGTGAAAGCTTCGGTGTACGTTCTGAAGAGAATACAGCTTGCAATTCAGGAATAAAATTCTGTGTTTGCTATCCCAGAAGAATATTAGATTCTTTTCCTTTCACTGCTACTGACCATTGACTGTTCTTGTGCCTCTAATTAACCTTATAACCTACTTCAAATCATAGCCTTTTTCCTGTTCTCAGCTAAAAAGCATTTAGGGTCAGCCTAGATCTTTCTTCTGCGTCCCATCCAACTTGTCACGTATCACCTTTTAAGGTTTCAAGGATGAAGAAAGGATTACTACTGCTATTAGAGTGTTAATATTTCCCAACAGTATCACCCAGGGAGAGCAATTATGGCAATTAATGGCAACCATTAAAATACATAAGCAACATATTATATAATTATCCAAAATCAACTTCTGCGAAAGAAACTGTCTACAGTGTCTTGGTTACTCATTCCATTTACAAAAACCCAGGCAGGTGCAAGCTTCAAAAATTTTAGCCAACCGTTTATCACATTCGATCATACCGAATACTCTACACTGTCCCAGGCCCTTACTCCTTGCCAGCTGCCAGATGTAGCTTGTTTTCCTGTGCCTTTGCTAGCAACCATTAATCCTAATTAAAGTCAGGGTTCTTAAAGTGCTGAGCCTTGCACAGACACAAAATAAAGACTGTTCCCTATCATTAAAAAAAAA